AGGGTAACATACACATCATTAAAGTTCATTTCTAGTGAAAATTCATACCTGTCCTTTTAAAATATAAGACATTTGAACACTAGATTTACTGTGTGGTTTTTTTGGCATTATAGTTAATTTATTATGACTGTGTGAACTTCTTTCCAACTTCTTTTCAGAGAAATTAAAAAATCAGAGGATTAATCTGCACATCAACTCTAAAGCCAGAACCATTGCTGTACCCAAACAAAACAAATACAGGAAAAATGACCCATTTAAAACTACTTAATTATAAAATTATAAGTCAATTAAGTTCAAGCTCCTGCTGTCTGGATGTTCTAGATCTATAACTCTAGAACATTTCTTTAAGAAAGTCCTGCCTGTTATTGCTACTGATCTGATCCAAATAGTAACTCATCACTCACATCAGGCGTTTTCCCCCAGGCTTTGAAAACAGCAGTCATCAAACCACTGCTAAAAAAGAACAATCTGGACAAATCACTACTGCAGAATTACAGGCCGACCTCTGACCTCTAACCTCCCATTCATCAGCAAAAAAAACTGCGTCAACAATTAAATAGTTTCCTCATGATGACCAACTGCTTTGACTCTTTCCAGTCTGGTTTTTGTGCTCACCACAGCATGGAGACTGGCCTAGTCAAAGTATTCAATGACATCCATATAAATACGGACTGTGGGAGAACCACAGTGCTGGTTCTGTTGGACCTCAGTGCAGCTTTTGACATATTACTGAATCGACTGGAGAGTTGGGTTGGACTCTCCGGTTCGGTGCTCGACTGGCTTGAATCTTACATAAAGAACAGGGATTTCTTTGTTTCAATTGGAAACTTCTCATCAAAGAGGTCAAAGGTCACATGTGGGGTACCCCAAGGTTCAATCCTAGGACCCCTCTTACTCAATATTTATATTCTCCCACAAGCTCAGGTTATAACAGGAAATAATATAAGCTACCATAACTATGCAGATGATACTCAGCTCTACATTATGATCACCAGGTGATCTTTGACCCCATCCAATCACTGAATAAATGCTTAGAACAGATAAATGTGTGGATGTGGAAGCATTCACTTTCTCCAGCTGAACAGAAACAAAACTGAAGTCATTATTTTTGGACCTAAAGAGGAACGATCTAGAGCTATAGATCTAGAGCTATAGATCTAGAGCTATAGATCTAGAGCTATAGATCTAGAGCTATAGATCTAGAGTTATAGATCTAGAGCTATAGATCTAGAGCTATAGATCTAGAGCTACAGATCTAGAGTTATAGATCTAGAGTAAATGCACAGCGTCAGTTATTACAACTAAAAACTAGCGATCAGCCCGAAACCTGGGAGTAGTGATGGACTCAGACCTGAACCTTGCGAGCCACATAAAGACAGTTACAAAGTCAGTCTTCTATCACCTGAAGAACGTCTCCAGGATTAGAGGACTAATGTCTCAGCCAGATCTAGAGAAACTCATCCATGTGTTTATCTTTAGTCACATTGATTATTGTAACAGCGTCTTCACAGGCCTGTCCAACAAATCAATCCTCCAGCTGCAGCTGATCCAGAAGCTGCTGCTCCTGTTCTCACTAAAACCAGGAAGATAGAGACATAACAGCAGTTTTAAAGTCCCTCCACTGGCTCCCTGTAGCTCAAAGAATAGACTTTAAAATACTGTTGTTAGTTTATAAATCACTGAACGGTTTAGCACCACAATACATCAAAGATCTGCTGTTGTTGTATCAACCTTCCAGACTCTCAGGTTCTGGTTCTGGTTCTGCTCTGCATCCCCAGAACCAGAACCAAGAGAATAGAAGCAGCTTTCAGCATCTATGCACCAAAAATTTGGAACAAACTTCCAGAAAACTGTAAAACAGCAGAAACCCTGACTTCTTTTAAATCTCAACTAAAAACCCACCTGTTTAGAATTGTATTTGAAATGTAATATGTAACAATGTATTGTTTATTCTATGATGCATGACTTTGTGTTTATGATATAAAGCACTTTGAAATGCCTTGCTGCTGAAATGTGCTATACAAATAACATTTGATTTGATTTGATTTTGATTTGAAACTATTTGGGGAGATCAAAATCTTGTCAGACAAGGAAAAATTGGGTCCATAAGCTTCAATGATTTGCAAACGCACACACAATAAAATCATAAAACATGAAAATGTGAGGGTTAGGGTTAGGGTTAGGGTTAGCCATGTATTTCGATCAGCAAGAAAACTGATGAGCCAGATCCTGAATCAGCCACATTGTACGGCCCGTTTACGAGGATTCAAACTTCACACCCGCTCTATCAACACAAGCCTCGATACACTCTTCATAAAAATCCTCCTGGATTACTGAACACACACTCTGAGGCCTCGACACAGAAGACACATCACTAACTGAACAGCCAGTCTGACCGGTGGCTTCTGCTTTCACACCACACCGCTCACAATAACTATATAAGAGCTTGTCTGAAGTAAATAAATCCTTATTATTAATGAAAGAATCCTTTTTCCACTGGCAGATTATTTTACTTTTAACAAGCACTAGTGTAAATTTTAAGAACTAGTACTACTTATAAATATTAAGGAATTATTGACTTTAAAGAAGCTCCTATATTTTGCTCAGACATTACATGAAAGTTAGTTTATACTTGTTTCAAGTATAAGATATTTCTACTAGAAAGGAGACAAAAATACTTGGAAAGATTTGTGCTTTTGCAGAGTGTACTTATCTCACAGCTGAAGGATTTGTAATTTTCTACTGTTTATAAATGTAACTTAGAGATGTTTCAAACAAAAGAGTTATTTATTGCTGAGTTTTCACAGAATGTGAGTGTAACAGATGTGACATTATTAATAAAAATATACTTCTTGATGTAATTTCTTCAAAACACTTATTCCTAAAATGAGTTGAAAGTCTCTGAATGGACTAACTGTTCAGGTGTGAGAAGGCTGGTATCTAAATTCTTTGTTTGGCCAGAGTACAACAAAACGCTTCCACTATTCTCTAAACCTCCTGCAGCGAACAGTCCCCAGAGCCTGAGTCCATTTATCACTCTGCTCCCTCCAGTCCGCATTTACTGCCGTCGGCTGCACTCTTTAAGTCTACCTCTATTTACCCCAAGCCTCCCCAATCCCAGGCCTGCTTAACGAAGTCTGGAGAAAGGTCAAAGAACTGATCCATGATCTGCAAGTGCAAACGACAGTAGAATGCACCAACCTCTAACAGGTCACTCAGTGTGTCTGATGCCACAGCAGATGCAATAAAATATTCCAGTAAAATAAACTTAAAATCCAAGTTATTCAACATCAAAACTACACACCAGTACAATTATGATTAATAATCAACATGATCTGCTCATTTTAGATCAGGGGTGTTGAAATCATTTTAATTTTGAGCCATATATAGATCATGAATATTGCAGAATGTTTTAATAAAACCTGTTCATCAAAATATTAATAAACAGCTGTCTCTGAATCTTCTCAAAATTAAATATGATTGAACATCTTTTCATATTTATGTAATTTGGTAGTATACAGGTAAAAACTGTTTTGATTTAACTAATAAAATAATATACAAGTCCACCACTGTTGTGTTTTGACAAGCTGGAAAGTTGTATCCATATAATCCTCCAAACCCACGTAGCAAGCTATGGGTTGGCTCCAGGTCTTGAGTTTGACATGTGTTTTCTTTAAGGAACCTGCGTGATCTTTTTTGCACAAAGTGTTTTAATTTATGTTGATATGAATTCTACATATTGTGTTTAAATATATACAGTGTTATATATCTTTACGAGGTTTGCACAGTGAATGGAGGCCACTTGGAAACATGAAGCTGCTGTTAAAGGGCTCCATATCAAATGCAGCAGGATAAGTGATATATTCAGAGCTGTCATTCATTGATACTTTTATTATGTTTGAATGTGAATATAAAAGGTAAACTGGGATCAAAGTTGTGGAATTCAGTGTTCCAAGCCTTTTGGGATGGGATAAGTTACATTTGATGTGACATCATGCTTGTTTTCTTTTGTGATATTTTTTTTGAAAACTTTATGACTTCCTCCAAGCAGCCAGATTAACTAGTACAGTTTTTAACTAGTACATTGGTTTTACATGCATGGCGCTGCGTGAGATTAGCTAGATTCAATTTTAGTTCATCTAAATTAACTAAAATTTAGATGAACTAAATTTAGATTTAGTATACACTATCTATTCTCTGCAACACACAGAGTTTCCACAGTCATGCTATATTTTTTAAACTAAAAAGTCCATGGCAAGCTGGTGATCCAATTGCCTTTTTGCATGGTGCCACATGGCTCAGCAGTGAAGCAGCAGCATCATGTGCCAAAGGCTAAAGGCCTTCATGCAGCTGCTCTCAGTCCTCGGCCCAAACTCAGGACATTTGCTGCATGTCCTCCACCTTTCTCTCCACCTTTCTTCCTGTCAGGTAATAACAAAATAAGTCACTGGTCCCAAATCTACTTTAGAGTTCAGAATGAACTTTAAAGTAGATTTCAAACAAGCATGTTTTAGAAGTTTAATTTAGAAATGCAAAGTTACATTTTGAAGTCAAGCTGAGGTTCGTAGACTCTCTTGTTCATTCTTATTTATTTTAAAGGTGCTTTTTTTACATAGGTATGTTTTTTAGTGTTAAGTATTTTATATTCTTTGGATGCTGAAGCCTTTTTGACTTGCAGTACTTTTTTTAGGACTATTATGTGTCTGTTTTTGGTAAAGGTGTTTCTCACACAGTTGAATTTTTTTAATGTGGATGTTTTTTCAAAATAAACATACCACAATAAGCCTTTGCACCAAAATGCAATAAACAACAGCAAATATACACTGTTCAGTGAAATAGGCTCCTGAAGAATCAACGTCAAGGTGTCTTCCCAGAGTCTTGCCCCCCAAAGAATGCTGGCTGAAGTATTTTTGTTCACAGACAATCTGAAATCTTTCCCAAACTCACACTCACACTCCATCACACACTCAAAGCTTTTAGTGACAGCTGTTTTCACTTACAAGCATAAGTCATGGCAAAACTGCTTCCAATGTCCACCATGTCCACCTGTGGCACCAGTTTGGGGACGTCCTGATGTTGTGCCAGGGCGAAACGAAACACTTCGTACTCATGGGACCCAGTGGGGAAAAGGCCTCCTAGTCAATATGAAAACACAAAGTGAGTAGAAGATTTGGAAAAAACTGAACATTTCCCCTATTTTACATTTTTAGGACACCACTTTGTTATAGAGCACTAGTAAGACTGGTACAATTCAATAATTATATAAAGACAAAAATATGCATAAAAGGTGTACTTTGTATGTCTGACAGCAGCATTTTAAAAGGTAGAAGATGTGAGATCCTGCCTTTCAAATGAATAAAAATGGGTCAAATTGCACAATCTGCTGCAGGACTTGTTTCTTAAAGGTGTTCAAGTACAAATCTATTCCCTACTTCAGTCCCTCTCAAAACAAATTTTAAACACAATTACAGCTGCAGACTGGCAGAAAGCACAGCACATTTGTGAAAGTAAAAAGAAATCAAATTTGGCTTTCCAAATTTTTGAAAGAAAATTTTGAAGGCTGTGTCTCACATTACTATGAAAAATATGACATTTTTGTTTCTTTGGGCTAGCGGCTCCAAAATGTTCAACTTTAAACAGGCTGAACTAGTATCTTAAAGTCCTATAAGTCCTTTAAACAAAAGCACCATGGTGCTTCTTACACTAGTCTTTGGTAATCATGTCAAAATTTAACCAATTCTTGAGATTTCAAGTCTACTTCAGACCTCTGAGTTGCCATCCTGATGATTCTGAAACTGTACAAAACAAATTTTGACATTATCAATAAAAGGGACCTCTTGCTTCATGATTCATCCCTCAGTCAGGCTTCATCATTGTGGCTAAAAATCGTCAGTGTTTGGCAGTAATTGCTGTGAAAAGCCTCTCAGCATGGCACTTATTTCTATCATTTGCCTGCCACTCACACCCACTTCTCATAATAGTTTTCAGGGTCTCATGAAAATAATGTGAACACTTAAACTCTGACTGGTTAGCACCTTATTGGTCCTCTGGAACAAAGAGAGAGCTGTTTTCATGATCATTTTATTCTGAGCAACAACACTGCAAGGTCTTTTTGGGGGAACGCCGAAGTAAACGCTCTACTTTAAGTCCTCTACTTTTTAATTTGTACATGTTGCCGCTTGGTGGAGTTATCAGGAACCACGGAATCAGTTTCCAAATTTATGTTGATGACATATATCTCATTGTCTCGGGACGACCCTCAGCCAATCACTGCACTTAAAGACCTGGATGGCACAGAACTTTCTCCAGCTAAACCAGGACAAAGCAGAAGTTTTAATCATTGGACCAGAGCATTAGAAGGAAATTATGATTCAGATTGAAAGATAAATTGGGAGCTTGGCTTTTTGGCTCAGCTCTCTCTACATCACAACAGACTGGTACTGCACCTGCTTCACAGCAGGCGCTGCGCCAATAGACCTGTTGATCTCCCACTCCATGTTTCCCTAATTTGTGAACAAGATTATTTCATCAAGGGTATATATGAGACCAACAGAATCTAGTACAAGACTGTTGATCTTAAGGAATTGGTGGTCTCTACCTCTTTTACAACTTTAACACACTGGATGCATTTTTTACTTTAAGTCAGAGAGAGTGTGTTTAACACCTTATGAAGTGTTACACATTGTGCTTCTCCTGACCTCCAGAAAGTTTCTGCTTGGTGTTTTATTACCATCCGTGACTTATAGCAAACTTAATAGGTTTCTTTCTTTCATCCATGTCATAAGGTCAGATTTGTGTTTGGCAGAAGTGCTCACCTCTGCTTTCATCTCTACAGCTCCTCCTGATTCAACACTGACTGTGAACTTTTTCTATGTCAAATAAAATGTCAATAAATCACAGCAGAATTTGTTTTTCGGTGACAAAATGTAAAAAGCTTAAGGTGTTTAAAACACAGTAACTTTTTAAGTTTGCAAAGAGAGAAATAAACATCCAATCCATTTTATCCAGAATAAAACTTCTGCATGTCCTGTGATGAATAAATCATAAATAAATAAAACAGCAGAGGAACAGAACACTTTCATTTAAAATGTGCAACAAACTTTGGATATGCTGATAGACCATGTAATAGTACGTAATGAATGAACCCAAGTTCTAAAAGGCTGGAAGTGGTCCATCTGCTGTGACAGAAGGCCAAACTAATTCAGGAAAAAACATGCAGAAAAAACGACGTTTCAGAGCCAAAAGTGCTGAAAGCTGTTTGGTATTCAGGCTCAGACTGCAGGAGGGGGTTCGCTCCAGAAAAAAAATTCAACATGATGCCTCATCAGCATCAAACCTGGGAGCACACTACAGCAGGAGTCCGAACCGGTCGGCTCGATGAGTCATGATAATGATCCACTGCGCAGACCACAGCTGCAGGAGCCACACCAACCAATCTGACTGGAGCGGAAAAGAAATCAGAGGAAATACCCCTGAAACTGGATCCAGCAGGAGTACATGTACTGTAGTGAAAGTTCTGTCGACAGTAAAAATGACTAACAACGAAATTACTCAAATTATCTGTGATGATATTGATGAGTTTCTAATATAATTCTCTTTTTGCTATCAGGTTTATATTAAAGAAAATTTACAAAAGATGAGAAACTATTTTATTTACTTAAGAATAAAATCTATGATAATCATATTGAATTTCTTTAATTACCTTTTTTATTCTCATTTGACATTGGAACACTGACTAGTGTCTTTGATGGAACCATTTTTCCTGAAAACATTATAAGCTGAATAACAATTATTTACTGATCAAATAACTTAATTAGATCAGCTCCTAAAAATACTTTGACACAAAGTATATTACTTTTTGTTATTTCAAAAGTGATATAACTATAGTTTCTAATAATATAATAATAATACAGGCAAACATTTGTCTTTATGAAAAGGTCTGAAAGGTAATAGAAAAGCTAAATTTCAGATAAATATGCTAACTGACTGGACTTGCCAAGTGAATTTATGAAGAACACCAAGCATGCAACGTCAACTTTGTGTTCTGCATCTTCAAAGACAATTTGGTTTTTTATCATTATTATTTGAAACATGGGTGGCTTTTGATGATTTTTAGAGGATGGTGGACGACTTGCAGCTAGTTAGGCGGAGCTAATTTGACTGAAACAACGAGACCACCGCCTTCCACTCATGTTCCAACTCTGGTCAACTTCAGTTGCAGGTACAACACCAAACCTGTAAGGAAGATACTGAACTTCTTCCATCTAAATGACTAAATAATGGGCTTGCTTGATCCTGATACTATGGTGCATTTAATCAAAGTAATAGACACTACTGTTACTAATATCCTGCAGAGATGCCTGCAGGATATTATTGGAGGACATGCACAATACAATCACAGCACCTAACCCACAAAGGCACAGTCATATAACCAATCCACATCATGACACACAAAGTTTCCACTAGATGAACTGTTTAACCCTCCCGCTGTCTCAGGAAGAGTGTGTCAGATGTCATGATATCCCAACCTGGTGACCCGTCAGCTCTTCATTTCACAAACCACAAATAAAGATGCTGAACCGGCGAGCCCACTAGAACCGCAGTCGTGGGGTCAGGTGGGGTCCAACCAACCTGAAAACTATGGAAGGTTTAAATCTCTGCTTTTTCATTTTTACCCAGCTTCACTGCGTCGTCACATTTACTTACAGAAAAAGCACCAACCCATCAAAGAAACAAACTGAACAATAGCATTTATGTTCAGGATGTACATGTGTCCAACCCCATAAATTTACAGACAACCAAATGTTGTGACAAAAGATGCTTTTTTTCCCCATAAATTTGGTTATATTAAAAAGTGGCAAATAATGAAAAAGCTAATATATACTGTATATATATATTTTTTTTTTATTTAAAGGAAGATGATATTCTACGCTCAGTGCGTACAACCGTACAGCTGGCTGCTATGGAAACTCCACACAAACTGGTGGACAGACATTATTGCTGACCAAAGAGTGACATTTAACAGCACAAGAGAAGTGGACATCCTGTTTGATCTCCAATATCTGAAGAAAGACTCCACACTCTTTAGTGTTTTACTTTTTGATATAAATAAAAAAAGATCATTGTTTGGTAACAGTCTATTTTATTTGATGCTTTGCTGTCATTTTGCAGGCCATTTTATAACTTAAAGATAACCATTAAAGTATGCTTTATTTAAAACAACAACGGTTTCTTCCATCTGAATGAAGACAAATTTGTAATCAACAAAATGGTAAAGGTGCATCATCCCAGTGCATTTAGAACATGTGCAACCTTTAACCCCCATCAAGTTCAGCTAATGCTGACTAATGCATTTACACTGTAAAATATTTGAAGGTGGTTTAACTTGAAAATGAAAGTCATTCTTTTGGTTTTAACTGAGAAATTAAAGTTCATAAAGTTGATTTACAACAAGAGACAAGTTGTCTAAAGATTGTTTTTTTAAGTTATTTAATCTTGAATTGTGAGTTTTAACTTAACGCTTCAATATAAACCAAATAATTATTTCACAATATGCAAGAAAAAACAAACTGCCCTCACCCTCTTGCAGAGAACATATTTCTCTATTACTTTTGCTCACGACATCAAGTTAAAGAAAAACTTCTTATTTTACTTTTGAATATTTAAATTCCAGTTTCAAATTGCATGAACAAAATTTCTGATCTGATAATGAATTTGATTAAATTATTAAATTAAATTATCCTCAAGCTTTGCAAACTGTCAGTTGCATTAAACAAATATTTGCCTGAATAACACACAAGAATCAGATCAATATAACACACTTCCATCTAACTCTACACAGGATACAACATGCTGCTAAGCACTCTGGGAAATAGTTCCCACTCCTGTCTTTTCCTTCTGTCAGTTTTTTATTTAAGTGCCAACTTAAAAACTCTAATTTATTCAACTCTTGGAAGTTTGACAAAATTGATGAAAAGTTAACATAACTTATCACTGAAAGTTTATGTTTCACAAACTCACACATTTAGGTTCCAAATCAAAAACTGGTTAAATTTGCTGACTTAAAGAATAGAAGGTAGTAGACACAACTGATTGGGGGTCAAATGTTTTGCAGTGTAGTCAAGTAACTGCCAATGCATTTTCAAGAATTAAAAAGAGCTTGAAGATGCCAGATGAGGCAAATATTTTGTGCTGATAGTAACTTGCAGAATAAGATGTTAGGTGTATTACATGACTTGTGCAAGTGACCAGGTTACTGTTATAAAGGAGAACTAGTCACCATGAGTGTTAACTTGCCAAATAATCAATAATACAAAAATGTGTTGTTGCAGATTCTAAATGTTCAGAGAAATGAAATGCTGTTCAGGTTCAGACCACCAGCTTGAATAAAAACAAATCAAAAGTAGAACCCATCGTGGCTTCAGAACCACTGGATGCCACCCACAGGAGTGAAAAATTCAAACCTTGATTAATCTATGCTACACTTTTTAGACTGTCTGTCAGATGCTAACATCACTGAGGTTTTCACTTCTCACACACTCTACTGAATTATTCTTCAGCTCTGTCAGCCATTCACATCTGCATTTCCAATGTCTATGCGGACAAAATCAGGACATTTCCCAGTATTCCACTGTCTGCTTACATGTTCATTGCAATGGAGCTATACTGTACAACTTTACATCAAATGTAATTTAAGGCCGATTAATGGAATATTTAATCATTTCTGTTTATATATGACAGTTGAGTCAAATAAAAATGTATTTATTATAAAAGGATTTCTAGAAATGATGTCATTAAACACAAAATACTACAAAGAAATAATGATAATTATACCTGTAATTGGTATTAATTACCAATTATATGAACGATGTATTTGGTAATTACAGGGGAAAAAAAGTGATTTGACCTGTAATTCAATGGCTAGTAGACAGATTACATTTTTTTTCACATATTGACCTTCATTCATATTTATGGTAGCTACTGGATCACAGTTTGCTGCTGATTATATTTTGAAGAAACAACTTCATCAATAATGTTCGTTAACAGTAGATTGTAACTGAATGCAGTAAAAATAACTTTGCCAGTAATGAGGTCAATGGGATTCTGCTGCTAAGTTGTGATTCCGTCTGTCTGTCTGTCCACAACTGACTCTGTCCACAACTGACTCTGTCCACAACTGACTCTGTCCACAACTGACTCTGTCCACAACTGACTCTGTCCATGATGCTGGGTCTCAGTTCAATACCACAAAGAATATTGTTAGTTCCTGAAAGGTAAAGAGACCTCGATTATTGATCATAACTAAACATAATCTGTGATCAATGCCAGTGGTGGTAATGCTAACTGTGAAAAACAGAAAGATATTCTTTTGAATTTAAACACATCTGAGACGATGCTTTACATTTTAGACATGTTACCCTGCTTGTTGCAAGTAAATGAGCGTAAAATGCTTCACACCACAAGCTAAATAATGAATAAGACTCTGAAAGTGCAACACTGAGCACTTTCAGTGCTCTCTGAACTCGTCTTGCTTTGTAATGTAAGAAAATGAGGTTGCATAAGTTCTAATGCATCTAATAATAACAACGGGGATATTTTTGTGTCAAACGAGAAGCAGGAGAAAATGTCAATTTTCCTTTAAAATGAAGAGTAGTAAAAGAAATCTGAGAGATAGAATCAGCTGAGACTCACCGATGTTTATGTTACTTGGGAAACTTGTGCCGCTGCAAATCCCAGTCAGCAGCAGCAGCAGCAGCAGCTGCAGCAGCTGCAGCAGCAGCAACGGGGGGACCGAAAAACTCTGCAGACGCATGTTTCCTGCAGCAGGAGCAGCAGGAGCAGCAGGAGCAGCAGGAGCAGCAGGAGCAGCAGGACCTTCAGGGGATCTGGAGCAACCTGAGGAATCCCATTCACGCCGTGGCCGGCAGGGATCCACCGCAGCCCGGCCACACGCACCGCACGCACCGCACCGCCCGCTCCAACCGCCTTTATTTCTCTGCCTTATTAACATCCATACAGTTGGAGCGCAGCGCTTTGCTGCCGCGACGGCTCTGAGTCCCGAACTGCTTGATGTGCATCCTCACCTCCTTCCTCTCTCTCTGTCTCTCCCTCATTTCTCTCTCTCTCTCTTCTTCCCTCTCTCTCTCTCTCCTTCCCTCTCTCTCTCTCTTCTTCCCTCTCTCTCTCTCTTCTACCTCTCTCTCTCTCTTCTTCCTCTCTCTTCTTCCCTCTCTCTCTCTCTCCTTCCCTCTCTCTCTCTCTTCTACCCTCTCTCTCTCTTCTTCCTCTCTCTTCTTCCCTCTCTCTCTCTCTGAGAAAACCATGAATGTTCTGCCTTCTTTAATCCAGATATTTCACCTCAAGTCAAACAAACCAACCCAGCAGCATTTTTCACAGAATCCACACCCAGAACACACCCTTTGTTCTAAACAGATTATTTTCACATTTGTTCACTAAGCACTGTCTGGATGGCAACAATCTATCTATCTATCTATCTATTTTTTTGGCAAAAATATCAGAAAGTGAAATTCATATGACAATTTGTCTTTTACACATAAAGTATCTGAAGCTTTTATATCTTGTCATTTTAATATTTATCAATTCCAGATAAAAAAACAAAATTTAGTATGTCAAAAATTTAAGGTTAAAAAAGTTACATTTTGGAAACTTTGGTGTCACATTCCATTCATCTACTTAACTCAAAGCAACATCCACAAATGTTTCTGATGTGAGCCACTGATCTGTAAACGACTGCAAAGGCTCATTGTTAGAGAAGGTGCTTGATCACAGAGTTCTCTATCTAAGCATATTAATAGAAAGTTGGGTGGAAGCAAAAAGTAGCAAAAAATCAAAGTCTTTCTTTCAGATATTGTAAAGTTTTCATGTCATTTGGAAATTAAGAGTGTAGAAGCTCAATTTCACTCAAAATGACACCTGGACCTGTTATTCTCATTGACTCAGATATGTACGTTTGCTACAAATTCCACTTAATGTTCTGCAAATGTCCAGTAGAATTTGAGTAGTGCAGCAAAGCAAGAGAGAAAAACTGTAGGAGATCACCTTTCATGCAATGAAGTACACTCATCGGCCACTTTATTAGGTACACCCGTCCAATTGATCTTTAACACAAATGTTGAATCAGCCAGTCTGGCAGCAACTCAGTGCATTTAAGCATGTAGACATGGCCAAGAAGATCTGCTGCAGTTCAAACTGAGCATCGTGTCAACGCCACAGCCCGCCTCAGTATTGTTACTGACCATGTCCTTCCCTTTATGACCACAATGTACCCATCTCCTTATGGCTTCTTCCAGCAGGATAACGCAGCACGTCATAAAACGGGTCTGTGGAACACGACAATGAGTTCACTGAACTCAAATGGCCTCTACAGTCACCAGATCTCAATCCAATAGAAAAGCCAATAAAGAACCTTTGGGTTCTCTGTTGGATTGCACATCAAGGATGTGCAGCAGACAAATCTGCACAAGTGCGTGATCCTTATTGAATGTATTAAGGATTAAGGCAGTTCTGAATGTAAAAGAGGATGCAATAAAGTACTATCAAGGTGTACCTAATAATGTGGCAGATGAGTGCACATGGCAAAGTTTTATAAAATGTAAAACAAAAAAACAAATAAGGGGCAAACTGGGGGTACTGAAGGAATTATACTAAATAATAATTCAGCTTTTTTTTGTAACATTCAGTGGTGGATTTTGTTTAACCTTCACAATTTTACTTTAACAATAAATTGAAAATTATAGTGCTGCACTTTAAACTATTGAGAAGATCGTCCTCTCCTTCTGCTAGATCAGGGACTGCAACCTGTATCTGTGGAGATGCTTTGCTTTACTTAATATATTGAATGATGAAATATTGTTTTGTTTTTTGTTTCATTCCTTTTTAAGTGTGAAAATGAAAAAACACTGGCCACCCTGAGCCCAGCCTCCAAACCAAACTCTTTGTTTCTATAAATATTTTGAAATACTCTTTAAAATGCCAGAATTTGCACATTACTTTATATTTTTGGCTGTGTGAAAAAAAAGAAAAAAGAAATCTGGTGTGTTTTTTACATTTGCTTAATTAAAGCTTAACTAATTCATTGGACGATTCTTTTCTATTTTTACTCAATTAAAAATATGTTGAACATTGGAGTACAATCTTGAGGAGGTTTACCCTTTATGTGTTAACAATTGCTCTGTGAACCTTTTTTTTTTTTTACAAGAAACACTGCATCACTGCAGTGATCAGGACAATAAATGCTCTTGATTTTGTTTTTTGTTTTAAGTTTTAAGATTCTTCCAAGTCAGTTAATCTCAATATTTACTAAATATTGTCTGAAAGACAGAGATATGATTAATAGGTTTACTGTTATATAAAATTTAAACTCCAGTCATGCCTTCTCAGTACTTCTCTTGATAAAGATATTTTTCTCTGGCTCACACATCTCTTTTTCTCCAATACAGACTGATCCAAAATATTGATGATTGTTTAGGAAAAAATACAAACAAATTTATTCTATTTTTGTTATTTCTGAAGTTCATGCTCAGCTATTTATAAACTTTTTCCCAATTTTGTTCTAAGATTTAATCAAGACTGTTCAGTCTATGTGATTCTCAAAAGAAAGAAAGTGAATGTGATGTGGATTTTAGACAAACACTGTAAAACATTTTAAAATTGTAAACATCTTCCAGCTTGATTTTCAAAAAATATATAGTTTTTAAACATTTTTGTGTACATTTTGCAATATTACTTATTTTTCATCAAAAGAGAAAAAATGTTGAATTCATAATAAATAGGGTTTGTCTGTTTCCCAGCCTTTTTCTGTGAGCTACAGTGACTTATGACAGCAGGGGGTCAGACTCAGATTTTTGTTTGTTTTAAGTGAATGTTGTATCTTCAGCTCCGTTTCCACCAGTGAGTTTTAGAATAGAATAGAAAATACTTTATTGATCCTCAAGGGGAAATTATTTATTTGTTGAAAGCTTCTCCTTCTTAGGTAATAAATACAAAGTTTGTAAGAAAAAAATTCCCTTCTCACCCACCGCGGGTGGTTCTTATCCTCTGAGCTCGGGTCCTCTACCAGAGGCCTGGGAGCTTGAGGGTCCTGCAGTATCTTGGCTGTGCCAAGGACTGCTGCACATTTCTGGACTGAGATGTCTGATGTTGTTCCTGGGATCTGTTGTAGCCACTGCTCCAGTTTGGGGGTTACTGCCCCGATGACCACAGGCACCACTGTGGTCTTCACCTTCCAGGCCCTCTCCAGTTCCTCCCTGAGGCCCTGGTATTTCTCCAGTTTCTCGTGCTCCTTTTTCCTGATGTTGCAATCACTTGGTATTGCTACATCTACCACAACGGCTTTCCTCTGATGTTTATCCACTACGACAATGTCTGGTTGGTTCGCCATTACCATTCTGTCTGTCTGGATCTGGAAGTCCCACAGGATCTTAGCTCTGGCGTTCTCCACCACCTTTGGGGGTGTTTCCCACTTTGATCTCGGGGTTTCCAGTCCATATTCTGCACAGATGTTTCTGTACACTATGCCTGCCACTTGGTTAAGTCGTTCCATGTACGCTTTCCCTGCCAGTATCTTGCACCCTGCTGTGATGTGCTGGACTGTCTCAGGGGCCTCCTTGCACAACCTACACCTTGGGTCTTGTCTGGTGTGGTAGATCTGGGCCTCTATTGCTCTGGTGTTTAGGGCCTGTTCCTGGGCTGCAGGATGAGGGCCTCTGTGCTGTCCTTGAGTCCAGCTTTTTCCAGCCATTGGTAGGATTTACTGATATCAGCCACTTGGGTTATTTGCTGGTGGTACATCCCATGTAGGGGCTTGTCCTCCCATGATGGTATCTCTGGCACCTCAACCTCCGTTCCCTTTTGTCTGAGACATTCACTGAGCACATTGTCTGTTGAGGCTTTGTCCCTGATGTATCTATGGATCTTAGTTGTTTCGTCCTGGACAGTGGTTCTCACACTCACTAGTCCTCTGCCTCCTTCCTTGCGGCTCGTGTACAGTCTCAGGGTGCTGGATTTGGGATGGAACCCTCCATGCATGGTTAGTAGCTTTCTAGTCTTAATATCTGTGGCTTTTATCTCCTCCTTTGGCCAGCTAATTATTCCAGCAGGGTATCTGATTACTGGCAGGGCATAGCTGTTTATCGCACGGATTTTGTTCTTGCCATTGAGCTGGCTTCTCAGGACTTGCCTTATTCGTTGGAGGTATTTAGCTGTGGCTCCTTTCCTTGTGGCCTCATCGAGGTTGCCATTTGCTTGTGGTATACCTAGGTACTTGTAACTGTCCTCTATGTCTGCTATTGTTCCTTGTGGGAGTGAGACTCCTTCTGTGTGGATCACCTTCCCCCTCTTTGTGATCAGCCGACCACATTTCTCTAGTCCGAATGACATCCCAATGTCAGTGCTGTAGATCCTGGTGGTGTGGATCAGTGAGTCGATGTCTCGCTCACTCTTGGCATACAGCTTGATGTCATCCATGTAGAGGAGGTGACTGATGTTGGCCCCATTTTTGAGTCGGTATCCGTAGCCAGTCTTGTTGATAATTTGGCTGAGGGGGTTCAGGCCTATGCAGAACAGTAGCGGGGACAGAGCATCTCCTTGGTATATGCCACATTTGATGGACACTTGTGCAAGTGGTTTGCAGTTGGCTTCAAGGGTGGTTTTCCACAGCTTCATCGAGTTTGCAATGAAGGCTCTCAGAATCCTGTTGATGTTATACATCTCTAGGCATTCAATGATCCAAGTATGCGGCATTGAGTCATAGGCTTTTTGTAATCAATCCAAGCCATGCACAGGTTGGTGTGTCGGGTTTTGCAGTCTCGGGCAACTGTGCGGTCTACGAGGAGTTGGTGTTTGGCTCCTCTGGTATTTACACCGATACCCTTCTGTGCCGTGCTCATGTGTTATATATATATATATATATATATATATATATATATATATATATATATAATATATATATATATAATATATATATATATATTGCTGACTGGATAGCTCAATACATAAGGCATCAGTATATCACCCGAGAGGGCAGGGTTCGAATCCAGTCTGGGTCCTTAGGCAAGACCCTTCAAGCTACTGCCTACCTCATACCATGAGAGATACTAAGTTGCATAACATGCCGGCTCAGACGTCGCCCGGCCAAACAAGGTCTG